TGCTTTAGGCACTGAGGCCTAGTCTTGCTTTCACATATTTGACCAATTTCCAGCTCCTGTGGCTCCCAATAGTCTATGAAGCTATCAGAGGCTGTGACTGAGAGATGATTTACCCAAACAGATGTTTAACTTCTCCCAAGGGAAGAATACACATATATTTTCTGTGAAATACAATCTTTCTTAATTCATTATTAATTATTTAACTGTAGTTTATAATAAATGTGTTTAAGTATACATATACCTTTAGGGTAATTGAAGTACAAACATACACTTATCTCAGTATAATCCATTTTATTAACAGTTATTTAAGAATACTTTGGGTTTGTTTTCTACTTTGTAGAAAATAAGATTTTTGTGAAGTTGAAATTCAGTCTCCTAAAAATTCAGAGATTTTATATATTGAGAAGCTCATTCTAAGTTTTTATTTGTTCCTGTAATAAAGGAGAAATTAGTTGACCCTTCATTTTGGGAAAGATAAATCAGAGAAGGGGAATGGTAGCTAAGAATACACAGGGCTGGCTTTCAGACTCGTGCTGGGCTAAAAATCAGCACACACCTGGTCTTACATTCACACACAGTGAACGTACTTCTGAGAATCCTTAGGACTTTTTGGTATCATTCTACACATTAAACATAAAATAATATGTGTGTAATATTAATTTGTTGTTTTCTGTAAAATTGAAACTATTTAAATGAAGGAAACATTTCTTGTGCAAGTGAAATTTTAATAATGTTGATTCTTTTCTTCTGCTACATATTGTCTGTTTGCATTCAATTTCAGCATTATTCTTTTTTTTTCACCCCTAGCAGTGGAGATTGCACTCACACCTTTTGTACTGGGCTACATATCCAGCCTTTTCATATTTCTTTATATGTCTCCAGGTTTTCCCTAAATTGCTCAGTTGGCCAGAATGGGATTAAAGTTGTAATCTTACTGTCTCAGTGCCCTGAAAGTGCTAGGATTACAGGCAAGTACCTTCACCACACCAGCCCATCCCAACTGTTTAATCATCTCCAAGTAGATATTATTCTTCAGCCAGAGGAGGATTCTTTCTTTGTTCTGGCAAGATCCTCACATCCTTTATGTGTACATAATCAGATTGTTACTCCATACAGATTATGATTTTCTTGAATTCGTGCCCAAATTTCATTCACTGTCTTCAAAACTGTCATTTATACTGTTTAAGTGAATCACCTACCCTGAAGAGATTAATTTTTCTAGGCTTGATCCCCAACTTTGAATTTCTATTCAGTTAAATGGAACAGATTATTTTATTTTTATATCAATTTTATAGAGAAAGAAATAGCATTGAGACAGTTTCAAAACAGATTAGTAGGACAGGTACAATAATTAATACATTTCATATTGTCTTCATAGTAGTTATTCATAGTACAAGATGCAGACATGATATCTTGTCTTAACACTATTAGTACAAATCTTTCTTCTCACTGAACTAAGAGACAGTAGCTATGTATCTATCCTAACTATTTTGTATATACATATATATTTTTTCACTAAAAAATGGTCCTTCATTTATATCCCCTTTTTTGTTTACTTTTGCCAGAAATGGGTATTCCATTGCCATTCAAATACTGTAGGTGCATGAATTCAGCAAAGTGATCCAATATAGTCTAATAGTCCATGACAGAAGTTGGCTATCAGCAGAACTGACAATTGTCAGAGGTTGTTGACTTGAGCCTTTCGCACTCAGTATATTAATATGGCTTTACCTTTTATAACTCATTTTTCTACTTTTCTGCTGGATGGGAAATGTATTATTTTAGTATAAATTCATGACACTTGTTGTAACAATTATGGCATAGTCAAGATAAAACATGAATTTGTGTAAAGTATGGATAACAATTAGAAAAGAAATTGAAAAATGATACAGTGGGATAACGACAAGTAAAATGAGAAAGGAGAAACTGACTGCTTATGAGAAATTGATAAGAAATTCAAGGTCAGGCAGCAGATAGAGAAGACATCACAATTCTATTTACAATTCCAGCAATCACAGTGTTCCCCTATTCCTGACAAGCCTTCTTACACATAAACAAAATCTCTTGATACACCAACATGAGCGATCTAAAAAAGACTCTGAAAGGGAAAAGCCAGAAACTGGACTAAGGACACTGGGATGAGAAGAATGGCCCAATGATGAGTTTCCAGGTTTTCCTTTCTATGTTCTTCTCCCCCAACAAGGAAACAGGGTTCAGGCCCTATGAGTTGGCCTATTTTTTCCCCTTAATTCACTCACTGGGGTCCAAGAGGAAGAGGGAATCATAAACCATGCATGTGCAGTGTGGTGGCCTGCACAAGGGCTTCTCTCCTCCTTGTGTAGGGCCAGCAGACCCAGAGGAAGATCCACGCCATGCTGTGCTGATGGACTACACCTGAATGCAGGAGCCACTGACCAAAACTGCAGAATATGAAGCATTCAGTGTCTTACAACACAATATACTAAATATCTGAGATATAATTAAAATTTACTCCTCAGGACTGGGGAGATAGTTCAGTAGCATATGTACCTTTTTGGCAAGTCGAGGGTCCTGAGTTCGATCCCAGGTACCAAAAAATGTCACTCCTCATACCAAGAACCAGGATAATAAATTGAATAAAAATATTATTGATGCACATCACCACTAAGATATAAAATGTTGAGATTGTCTGATGATATCAAATCAGCAATCTTAATATTTAGGTGTATAACTATAAACACTTCTGAAATTCATTTTTTATGAAAGAAAGTTTGCATAAGGAACTAGAACATATAAAAAGCAAACAAGGAATTTAAAACTTGAAACTTCACTGGATGGGCTCTACAGTATAACAGAGACGACAATGGAAATCATTAATTTGAAGATGTATCAATAGATATTATTCAATGTGAACAATGGATTTGCAATTTGGCAAATTAAGCAAAATGTTTCAGTATGTAGATTCAAATGTTAGGTGAACTCCAACTTGAGTAGACCAGAAACACCAAAGATACATCACAATTTTTCAAGGTCAGATAGAAACAAATTATTTGAAGACAAGAAGGATGTAAGTGATGAAAACTTTATATCTAAAGCCATGGAAATCATTTTTAAGTGTTAATAGAAAAAAAGTATTAAAGCCTGGGTCTGTGTTCATGGAGAAAGCATTCTTGAGTTGTATGGGAAAGTAAAGAACTCCTTTGGGAGAAGGTGGCCAGAAAGTTAAGAATTTATTGCTAGAAAACCTATTATCAAAGAATTGACTAGCAGAAGTTCTGTTACTACCCCGTTGCTAACAGGAAAAGGCTAGACTTGAAGAAAGAAAGCAGAATAACGGCAGAGGCAAAGTTAGGGACAAATATAATAAACAATCCCCTTTCATATGAGCTTTTAATGACAA